TCATATTTTAGGTTAAACTCTGAGCGTGGGGTTTATCAGCTCAATTGTGCAATTGGAAATTTTAATTGGGAAGCATGGCGTATATGCTTTCGTGCTTGTTGAGATTCATTGGACATTTCCATTTCCTTGGACTTGATGTTGGTCTTAGTCTTGGGCCTGGACAATTTCACAGAACGTCAATTCTAATGTTTGAAAGGTATTATTTTACTTTCAAGAAATTACACTCTCACCTGAAAATAGATTTTCAATTTCACAAATCCGATAACAAATTCAACATTTCAAAAATCAGATTTTAATTAATAATTTAAAAATATTTTTTTATTTTTATTTTTATATAAAATCATTTGGACCCAACCAAACCCTAAAATCATTTGACCCAATCTTCTCCCCACTCCCACCTCTCGTCTCACAGCGCCGCCGCCGCCACCCCCACCCCAGCGCCACCACCGCCACCACCACCTCCCGTCTCACTCTCTACCCTCACCGTGTGTCTCTCATATTCGTCGCTCGAAGATCCAGTAGGGTTTCTCAAATCCGCCGTTTCTATCCTTCATCCGCAGTCGCCGTCTCCTCTCCTCCCTCTCCAGCGAGCACGGCGGCGCTCCTGACCCATCCCGTATCTACCGACGACGTCTTCTCTCCTCACGTAGTTGTCCTCTCTCTTCTCCTACCGACGGTTTGTTTCTTTCTACCTACGCAGATCTGTTCTGTCCATTTTTTAAAATTTTTTTTCGAGTTTGATTTTATGGATGGTAGTGGTGGTTGTATGGCTGATTTTTGCCGATGGTTGCAGATCTGTGGTGGTTTCTGCAGAATGGTGTTGTTGGGCGTTTGTGCGTGGGTACGGTGGTGTTGGATTGGGCGATGGTGGTTGTTGTGTGTGCGTGGTCGTAAACGATGCGGTGCCGTGGTGTTGGCGGTGTTGGATCGGATTTTGATCAGTTGTTGTTTTTGTGGTTTTTGTGCACAGATCCGGCAGCGGTGGTGGTGTTTTTGTGTGGTTGGATGCGACGATGGTGGTAGTGTTTTTGTGTGGTGGTAGTGGTGTTTTGTGTGGGTGTTGGTTGTTACGACGGTGGTGTTGGTACTGGTTGCCGTGAGGTGGTGGCGGTTTTGTGGCAGGGGTGGCGACGGTAATGGTTATTGTTGGTGGTATGTGACCAATTATTTAGTTATCTGAGACCAAAAATTTATTA